AGATACTTAACGTTCTTACAAAGTAAAATGCAAAGACACTATGTAACAGGCAAAAGCTTCCCAGAATCTACTTTATTTCATAACACATTATATACCCATGGTTATCAGGAATTTATTCATAGTCATGTATTGATATATATATTGACCAACTTTTTAATTAACTGAGTAAAACAAGGTGTTTTAATAAATAGGCTCAAAATTGTACAATGGTTAAAAGTCAGTAGAAGTTTATTTATTATTTATCGTAACTGTCTGAAGTGGATGTTTTTGATGGTTGCTGGCTTTTCTCCACCCGACATTCTTCCATTTTGTGGCTCTGACATTCCCTAGAGCTTTGTCATCTAAATCCAGCCGGCGTTAAGAAAATAAAATGTGGAAGGAGAACATTTGCTTTTAAAGCCCTTGGCCTGAAAATGGCACACATCAATTCCACTTACATTCCATATGACACGCATTCGTATGCCAACCCTAACTGCAAGGGAGGCCAGGACATATGGTCTAACTAGGTGCCAAGGAAAAAGAGGAAATCCATTTGAGTGAAGAGCTAGCAGTGTTTTCATTATTACTTTAGAGCTCAAAAGACAACAAAGCAGACTCCTCTCCACCATCTAATAATATGGCATCCTTCATTAAAAAAAAACCAAAATAGTGACAGATTGTGTTCTTTTTATATTATTATTTTTCATGTGTACCATCAAATCAAATCTGACTGGTAAAGCAGGAGATTGTCCCTCCTTCTTCTGCAGAGCATCTGGTGGCTTTGAACTGCATACCTCTGGGATTGCAGTGCAGCTTCTTGCTACTAAGCCGCCAGAGCTCCCCAGAGAGGTTGCATTCTTAAATTCAAGAATATAAATTGCAGAAATCGGCTTAAAAATGTATACTACTGACCCATTTTTTTCTTAATGTAATTAATTGGCCTGTGCACATTTGGTGAGAATAGCACTTACCTGCATGTCAGCATTTGAGAAACTCTACACCATATACTCTATAGGGCGCTCCGGTGGCCCAGTGGTAAGGAGCTGTTCTGTCAACCCAAAAGCATGTGGTTTGAATTCATCACCTGTTCCACAGGAAGAAGATGGGCAGTCTTCTCTGGTGCAATTTATTGCCTCTGAAAACCCACTGAAGGATCAGTTCTGATTAAGTGGTAAAATACAACAATAACATATTTCCGTCTATCTATCTATTTATCTATCTATCTATCTATCTATCTATCTATCTATCTATCTATCTATCTATCTATCTATCTTCTATCATCAGAATATGCGTTGTTCCCAGAGTTCATGAATACTTGCTTTTGCCTCAATCCATTGCTTCTTTGTCTGGAATGGCTTTCCTTTGGTTTCAATACCTCTGAAATAAAAACAAACAAACCCCAATTAAAAACCCCAAACTTCTTGCCATCAAGTTGATTTCCCTCATAGTGACTCTATAGGTCAAAGAACTGCCCCACAGTGTTACCAAGTCTATAAATCTTTTTTGAAGCAACCTATTTCATTTTTCACCCACATCTAGTGGATTTGAACTGCTGATCTTTTGATAAGCAGCTAAATCCTTTACCCACTGTGCTATAAGGACTCATTAGCCTAAGAAAATCCTACTCATTCATTTATTAGCTCCAAGTCAGCTATCTCTGCCCAACCTTCAGACTCCCTGGTGCCATTATGCCACGCTACTTATATCCCTTATTTAACAGCTGTCTTTCACAAGTGTTGTATGTAATTATGTTTTGTGTATTAGTCTGTATGCTTTCTGTTAAAAATGCATGTTTTATTCATGGTTTAGAGTCACAAACATTAGCATATGTGTTCTTTGAATGTTCCCAGAATGCTAGATGTACTGAAAAATAGCCTCGTATTTTATCCTCATTCTTTAAGATACAACAAAGCATGTTTATTTATTTATGATAGCCAACCCTTTATGGTAGGGATAACTGTCAAGTGGAGCTTAAAAGGGTTGATAGGGTGTGACAGGTGGCAAGAGGGGTGTGGGAGTGTCCAGCAGGATAGAGTACTCTCTGGCACATTCTGGGTGCAGGGCATTTGTGAAATACATCAGCAGGTCTGCTTTGAAACCATTATAATACAGGATGTTCACTTTCATGGATTATCACATAATTAAAAATCAAACTCCTAGCTCATTCTGGCACTGATCTTGGCTGTAGGGAGGTTAGTATAAAAACCTAATGCTCATTATCCTTAACAGGAGTTACCAACCTGAATTCCCCGGGCCCCAGCAGAGCCATGAGCTCACCATGGCAAAGAAATGCTTAATTACAGCTACAGAAAGAGGAGCATGTGGAAAACAATCATTTGCAGGCATTCCTGATTCTACTGCTGTACCTCTCATTACCAAGGGAAATATGACTTCTTAAAGCTATCTTGCCAATCTTATTTGGAATAAAATATAGATCATAAGGCAATTTTCCACTTCCTCTTTCTTTTTCTGTACCTTTTAGTTTACTTTACTTCTTTAATTTAATGATTGTACAAGCCTAATTAGTATTTTACTGAAAAAAAAAGAGACCAGCAGACGTGGTGTCTACTCAGAATGTTCTTTTTTGTAGATATTCTTATTTGAAAAGTTAGATTCTAGGTTTTACATACTTACAGGCTTTTTCAGATCATACTACAATGTCCATTTATTCATTTCAGATTTTTAATGGTTGTAGTTTAGGGTAGCGATTAATTTTCCCGTTATGTAGATAGAAAAACAGACTGATATCACGTGACTTGCTCATGACCACAGGTTAGTGTGGTAACACTGAGTCCTCTGATTATAGATCTTGAACTAAGAAGGTCAGTAGTCATCTAGCCTATGGAAGAGGCACACAGAGGGGGGTTTGCAGTGAAGGTATCTGCTTGTACAGCCCTGTTAGGTATCTTGTGTTGGATTGGATGGCTCAATAGGAGAAATAAATACATCAAGGTGAATACTTCCTTTGATTCTGCCACCACTTTGGGCTAAGTATTCTATGTCACTAAAGTTAATCGAGAAACAATTTAAAGGCCACATAATTTTACTCCCATACTTATTATGATTTCATTCCATAAATCAATGGAATTTAGCTTATAAATTAGTATGTGTTTATTACCAGTGATTCATCTCTGCTTGTTTTCGGATTAACTTGCTTCCTCATTCCCAGCTTCTGTTCACATCTCTTATTTCTCACAACTCATTTGAAAACAGCATGTTTCTAAAGGTTTCACTCTATGTTCTTGAGGATGTGTGATCACATCCTATGTGCAGAAAACCTAGATATGTGATAAAAGGCTGGAGCTGTTCCTAGAATTAAATGCTTAACATTAAATGTAAATAAAATGCAAGTACTAAAATTAAATCCTTAACATCAACGAATATAATCAATTTAACACCTGGTACCTAATATATAAGTTACCCTGGTGGCCTAGTGGATAAGGAGTTGCACTGGCAATCAAAGGCAGATGGTCTGCATCCAGCAGCTGCTCTATGGGAGAAGGATTGGGCAATTTTCTCCCACGTGATATTCAGCGCGTGGAACCCACTAAAGAGCCACCCATGGGTCATCTCCGACTCGATGGCAGTGGACTGACCTAGTTGTCTGACAAAACAAAAGAATTAAAATAGAAATCTCAGTAAACACTGGTTAAATAAATGGAGGAATAAAGTTGTCTAGCATGTATTAAGAGGCAGAGTACTTTTGAGGATAACATATTACTGCTCTCCGCAATCAAATAATTTCCATTTTTGACTCCAATTTTACTGACAGAGGCAGCACTTTATGAACAAATTAGGGCTATAAATGCTCTGGCACAGTCTAATTTTTGCCCAGCGTTACACTACAGACAAAGATGTTAGTGATGCTTTGGAAACTGTATGTTTGTTTTGAGCCAGCAACACAATGAAGAAGCATCAAATATTTATTTATTTGCCAAAGTACACCAATGCACTGATGGAATGCAAATTCATTTTGGGGGCAATAAGTTTTAGAGAGCTTATGAAAGTTGAAGACTATATTTAGTTTGAAATATTTAGAGAGGTATACATGACTTAATTGTTTTTCCTTTCATTATTATGATTACACGGAGAAAATGACTTTTAAAGGACTGGGGCTCCTCACTGAGGAGGTATTTAGTGAGTGTGAAATCTAGAGTTTCCAGGTGCTGTATGGTGATGACAATGCATTTTGATTTTGCCTGTTGATCTTCTCTAACCCATCAGGTTTTTGAAAATTTTATTTTATTGCTGAGAATATGCACAGCAAAACATACAGAAACTGAAAAGTTGCTCCATGTACAATCCAGTGGCACTGGATACATTCTTTAATTTGTGCAACCACTAGTGGTACCAGTCACACCAATTACTCTTTATATGCCTGGAGCAACAGAGAAAGAAGAGCAGTCAGGAAGGGAGAAAGACATAGAATGTGTGGCTAATTGCCTCTGTGAACAACTGCTTTCTTTCCCATGAGACTAGAAATATGCTATGGTGCCTGCTTACCATTCCTGAATATTTTGATCAAAAAATCTATAGAAAATAATAATCAAAGAGGAGAAGTATAGAACAGAATTTCAAAACCCATCAGATTTTGATGGATATTCACTAGAAAAACAATTTGTTCAGCACCCTGCTTGGAAGCTTGGGAATTCTAATGACATTTTGGCCCAAGTAGAGTTCTGGAATGGGACCATAAGTTGGTGGCATCTTGCAGTCAGACACCAGATGCGTGATGGAGAGAAAGGATTCTCTTTTTAACACTCCTCTGTATTTCCCCCAATCATAATTAGCTTTTATTTATTTACATTTGATTTTTCTGCTGCAGAGTTGTGGCTCTGCTTCTATTTTGGATGGAGGGAAGTAGAGATATGTTACTGAAATGTTCTCTCCCCAAATACTTACTTCAATAGTTCAGCTATTAGTATTTATGCATTTACTTTGAATTTTTTTTGGCAATTTTAAAGTATGCGTTTTTATAAACAAAATAAAAATGTGAATATTCATTCCATTTTGTTTTGCAGAACCCCAGCTGAAAGGAATTGTGACAAGGTTATTCAGCCAGCAGGGATATTTCCTGCAGATGCACCCAGATGGTACCATTGACGGGACCAAGGACGAAAACAGTGACTACAGTAAGGAGTATTAGTTTTCTTTAATCCAATGACATAGCTAATGTATGACCCAGTGTATTTTATATTTAAAACATGGCTGAAGTACCTTTTAAACTACTTCACTGATACACTGGTATCATTTCCTTTATCCTTTGAAAGTGAGCTTACATACTGGATACAAAGTTAGGAAATGTGAATGAATTTCACTTGGTCACTATCACCATTATCTATTTAATGGGAAAATAGAATTTCTCTTTCAGAGGAAGAAGCCCTAATGGTGCATTGATTAAGTGCTCAGTTGCGAGAGTTCAAACTCATAACCTCTTCCATGGGAGAAAGATGTGCATGTCTGCCCACATAGATGATAGCCTCGGAAACCCTATGTGCCAGTTTTGACTCTGTCCTGTAAAGTCATTGTGAGTTAGAATTTTATTTGATAGCAGTGAGTTTGGTGGGTTTGGTTTAGTTCAGGGTAATTGGAGATGGAAGTCGCAAAGTTCATTCTTTCTGAACTTCCGAAAAAGAAGCTTCCCTGACCATCCCTTGTAAAATTACCCAGCCCACCTTGAACTGAGCTCAGATACTTCTTTAATTAGATTCAAACCTATGTATAGTTGATGTATATAATGTTATTGTTTATATTCATTCTCCTCAGAAATATATGAGTTCCATAAATGAAGTAATTCGTTTAGCATCCTTAATGTGTCTGTAGGATCTAGCCCAGTCCTTGAATAAATAAGAAGGATTTGCTAATAGTTGGGTAAACAGTATCTCCTTATGCACATGTGCACAGTCTTCCAAGGTGATTATCTGAATTTTCTAGTTCTTTTATAACAGAGGTACTACTAGCTGGTGACTTTATAGAATGTTGTTGTTGTTGTTGTGTACTGTCAAGTCGCCTGTGACTCATAGAGACCCTATGTACAACAGCCCTAAACCCTGCTCTATCCTGTGCCAATCTCACTGTCTCCAACACACCCACCTCCATTACCCCAGCCACTGAAACAATACAATTCCTAATAGAAGGTCTTCCTCTCCTGTGCTGCTCTTCCATCCTCCCATAGTGAATAGAAATCTATTTTTTTGTGTTTAGGGTTCTAAAAGTCTAAGTGAGGACATCAGCTTCAGGAGGAGCCTTTTTTTTTTCTTTTCTATAGGATTTGAAGGAAGATCTTCATCTGAGCTTCTTCAACTCAGGAGTTGTTTCAGTTCTTAGGAGTCAACTACACATGACATGACATTCGGCTTCCTCAATTTGTGCTTCCTTGTCTCTGTGCCTGTGTTGTTCCCTAGATGTCCCTGTAATTTTAGACTTCAGAAAAATTCCAGAGCACTTTAGGGAGTTATTCCCGTCACTTAAATTCTCCTAAAGTTTTCATTTTTATAAACAAGAATATAACTCACAAAATCAGTAAATTTGCCTTAGTACGATACTATTAACAGAATAAATGTTTTATTCGTGCATAGTCAGTGTTTTTCCTAATGTAATTTTTCTCTTTCCTCCCTCCAATTTTTACTGAAGAATTTTCCAAGAGAATAATATTTTTTACAAGCATTTTTTTAGCTTGTCATTAAGAGTAAGCATATGAGAGAGGGATTTCAATTCTATTTAGGTTTTCTACTCCAAAAACTGTAAATCTCTAATGACTGTTAAATTTCTTGAGTAGGAATTAAAGTAGTAGATTATTTAGGGGTGGGAGGGAATCTTGCTACCACAAGCATCTGTCAGAAATGTTTGGTTCAGTAGAAACCATGAGGTCCAGCCAACCTTATCGTGGTATGTAGGATAGAATTGATAAAGGCACCTGTTCTTTTGTTCATGAAGAAAAGACTAATTACATGTAATTGAGTACGAGCACAAATGGATTTGTCAGCAGTTACAGATACGAATCTGCAAATTTTAGGCAAACAAAAATGCAAAACTATATTGGAACATTGACACATGCACACACACACACACACACACACACACACACACACATAGACGATTGCAGTTTGGAAGTTATTAATAAGAATATTTTACACCAAATTCAAAAGGCAATTATTCTGCTTTGCTAGTTACCACAGGAGAGGAAACATTCAAAGAGATCAAACATGCCTGGGTGAGAACATGATATTATAACCAAATGCATTGTTCCCTTTTTCTCTGAACAAAATATATTAAAGACCATTTGAATATGAAATGAGCCCTCTGAAAAGTTAATGCAGTGGTAAAATTGGAGCTATTCAAGCAGATGTTGTACAGACACTTGAACCGGGTGTAACAGGAAAACTCAATGACTTTTAAGATTCCTGTTTGCCCTGACATTCTTCTAAAAATTATTTTGAGTAGATGGATTAAGCATTTGCTACAAACTTGTACCATAAAGAATATGCAGTCAAGGAAGAGAAATTCAGCCCTGACACCAAGCAGCAGGCTTGGCATTCCCAGTCAGGTCATGTCCTTTATAAAATCAGTTATTGTACAAAACACCAAATCATATATGGCCTTTGTGGTGGTGAATCCCAAAAGACAAAAGGCAAGATGCCTCATAATCATCCACAAACAGACACAATCAAGGACACTGTCCACAAAGTGACCAAATCTTTCCTTATCCTGATTTTTCTCTCGTGCTGCTGCTTTGCCGATAACACCTTTAAACTTACTTTCTCCTTTTTCTTTATTGATAGATAAAAAGAATTAAGATGCTCCATCACCATTTGCCATCATGGCATTACACTTGCTTCTTTAGATTTTGAATCCAGATCAGATCCCCATGGTATGGACACTGCTCTATCCTTTTATCGTTTTAGAGTATGTGCAATCCTAAAATTACTCTAAAATTACCCTTAAAAAATCCCTTAAGTTATCTAACACAGGCTCAAATACCACATTAAGTCTATAACAACCTTTACCGAGACACCTGTGGTTCTATCATGATGTGCATTGTTTCTTATAGTTGTTAAACCTCACTTTGTTCAGTCAATAGCTCTTAAAATTCTTTGGCTGAAATTTCTCAGCACTGTAAGTATAATTTCTGTCTCTCCTTGTTTTGCCCACTGACCAGCTTACTGATATTTTCTCTTTTATGTATTCACCACGATTTACAATATGATTTCCTATCTATATTACACTCTTTTTTTTTACTTAAAATGCATTGTCGACAATATCTCTCCATTTTATTACATATTTAATGACATGTTTTATTTAACATAATTTCCTATGAAAGACCATTTTAGCTTTTAATTTTTTGCTAGGACAAATTTTGCTTTGAAAAAGTCTTTAAAGTCATTTCACATATCTGCAAGTATTTATATGAAGGATATTAGATATTGCATGATCTAAGGTTAGGTGCCCTTTGCTTTTCCATTTAAAATGATAACATCTAATTTCTTTCTATTAAACACAGTTACGTTACATTCTCAGCAATGTCTCAGAGTGCCTGTTTTCTTATCCTCTTGTCAACATAATGTGTTACCAAACTTTTGGCGCTATTTTATCTGAAAACTTACATTTTCATTTTGCTTATTATGAGTTAGGTTGAACATATGTTTTAAAAGCCATCTGTACTCCCCCCCGCCCCATGAAATATCTACTTATATTATTCATGGGTTTTTGAGTATTTTTTCCTATTGGGAAATTTTTTCCTTTTGTTGTTGGAAATATTTTTTTTAATCAACTCTTTGTTATATTGTTGTTGTTAGCGGCCATTGAGTTGGCTGTGACTCTATGAACAACAGATCTGAACATTGTCCTATACTGTGTCATTCCTCATGATCTCTGTCCTGCTCAAGCCCATTGTGATAGTCACTGTTTCAATTAATTCTTTTGAATGTCTACCTCTCTTTCTCTGACCCTCATGATGTTTCTTTCCAAGGACTAGTTCTTCCCTGAAAATATGTCCAAAATATGTGAGACAGAGTTTCACCATCCTTGCCTCTAGGACACTTTAGTTATCCTTCGTTCAAGACAGATTTGTTTGTTCTTTTGGTAGTCCATGACATAGTCAGTACTCTTTACCAAAACCACAATTCAGTGGCATTCTTTCTTCTTCTGTTATCCTTACTAATTTTTTTAACTTCCAGATACATAGGAACCAATTGAAAAGAACCGGTCTTGGATCTGACTTTCCTTACTCTTTACACTGACATCCTTGCTCTTTAGCACTCTGGAGAGATCTTTGACAGATTTCCCCAGTGCAGCACAGTATTTGATTTCTTACCTGCTGCTACTGAGGCTGTTGAGTTACAAGAAGGTAAAATACATTTCTCATTTTTGATGGCCTTTGAAATATTTAACCAAATGCTTTGTCCTATTTTATTTTTAATATGTATTTATATACTCAGTTTTTCTTTCCTATTTAGAATATGGAGCTGGAGAGAGAATGATCGAATTTTGCACAATCAATGACTTATTCATAGCAAATACATTTTTTAAGAGACATAAACGCAGGTTATATACTTGGATTTCACCTGATGGTATGCATAGGAATCAGATTGATTACATCTGCGGAAAGAACCGCTGGAGAAGCTCGATATCAGCTGTGAAAATTAGGCCAGGAGCTGACTGTGGAACAGACCACCAACTACTCATATGCAAATTCAAGCTGAAGCTGAGGAAAATTAAACCAAATCCAAGACAACCAGAATATGACTTTGAGTCTATCCCACCTGAATTTCAGCACCATCTCAGGAACAGGTTTGAGGCTTTGAA